AAGTATGACTACGCTTCAGGTAAAATCCACTATCTAACTCCGTAAGTTCCTATTCATTGATTCTTAATACATGATGTGATAAGATTGCATTTGAATGTTTTGCAGGATCGGTGAAAAGAAAGGAAGCTTGATAAGAGAGCAAGATGAATCTAATCACAAGAGATGGATCTCGATCGCATGGACTTGAAGATTGGATTTTAAGCTTAGATAGTTATGATAGAAATTTTCCTTTTACATAGTTTTCAATAGATTTTGCATTGTAAGGACAAATGTTTTTCCGCTGCTTTTATAAATAAAATAAATTTTGACTTATTTATTTATTTGTTTACTTCCTTGCAATGAAATCGTTATGAAAATTGATGTTTTCATATTTCTAGTACAATTGTATGTTTAAGAACCATATCTCAATTGATCCTCTAAGTCCATAACTATTTTGGTATGTACTTGACCCGATGGTGCATGGTCCTGTTGGGTTGCCTTCACCAGAGCAACTTGATTGGAGAAATAAATAAAGAGAGAGAGGTTATTATGATTTATTAATTTATTATAAGAATAATATATTAAAGGAGAAATCATATTTGTTTAATTAATATTGGTCAATAATTAATTAGGAATTAATTTTGTGATCAAGTGTAATTAATTAAACTACAGGGGCTGATTTTGTAATTATGTGATAGTTACAAAATAAGGTAAGGATTATCTTAAATATAGGGTGAACAAATTTAAGAAGATAATGCCTTAGAATTCGACTAGGATAAGGGTTTCTAAGACTTATCTTACGGTTACTTGGTGGGCAAGCAACTACATAAGGATAAGGACTAAAACCCTAATCTTTACACCTATATAAACCCCCTAAGGCTCATGAATTCGTCCAAGCCTTCCCAAGAAGTCCTAAGGATGAATTCCCACCTCTCTCCTCTCTCTTTATACCTTCTCCATTTGCTCTTGGTGTTTGTAAGCCATTAAAGGTGTGACACTTGTGACTCTAAGCATTCCAAAGTCAATTCAAGGAGGAATTGGGATTGTTATTGCTACATAACAATCAAGGTAACATCTTTAACCTAATTATATGTTAATATCGATTTCCATATGCTAGAATTAGGGTTTATAGTCTTGGATTCAAAGCATGTACAATAGAGAAACCTAGATCCAAGCATTAGGGTTTGTATGAGCACATAGGATGTCTTATAACCAAAACCCATCAATTTTATGGTACATTCAAGTTCGCAAGACTTTATTGAGCTTCATTTTGAAAGTATACGAAGTTTAGAAGCAAATTTAGGCTTGTAGGACTCTCACTTAATTGATGCAAAGGAGGAGATTATTAGGATTATTATGTTGCGTCATTGGGCCTTATGTATAGTATGCTTTGTAAACGGGTTGGGTCTGTCCTCCCGTATTTATTTTCTAGGGTTAGAGTATTTAAGATGCCTGCATGCATCATATTTTGGCAACTCTGATTATCATCTTGTAACCCTAATCACGCCTCTACCGTAGCCATTCTTCATCGAGTTCTTCTGAGGCGTGACTTTTGAATCATTCAACATATTTGGAGTCATTGTCGTGTTCTTGCTTTAATCTGTTTGAGTCTAATCGATCATTCAAGGATATTTAATCCTAACATCATATTTTGTTAATAGGTCAATATATTTTAAGATTTCTCAATAGAGAATGTGAAGTTGATTGGAACATAAAACACTTATACCAAAATTTGAGTGTGTTACGCTAAGAAATATTTGTTCATAAACCTTTAAGATTATATGGAAATGACAAATTTGAGTGTGTCATGCTGATCTGACAGAAATATTTGTTCATAAACCTTTAAGATTATATGGAAATAACGAGTATCCGGTTTGAGTTTTGGATGTCCTTTTGGTTTAGATACTGTAAGATTATAGCATTTATAGAACCATATATCACAAAATAACACTATAATGTATGTTTTCGATTTTTAAACTACATATAAGTTGTTATAACAACACTATAATGCCTAGTTCTTAATTTTTAAAATAACAATGAGTGGTTATAATAACACTACTTTTTAAAAATCATATGAAAGCTTAAACATGTTTTTGAAGTTTTAAGTGAAGATCAAGTTCGAATGCTAATGCATTTTATTTACGATGGCTAATAATTTACTTTTTAAAGTTTAACTTATTTTGATCATCATAACATTACAAGAAATAACGTCATTACCAGCGACACTATTAGCGGCGACATGAAGCTTTAGTGGTGACTCAAGCTTGAGGTGTCGCTAATTCTCCGTGTCGCCGTTAATAGCGTTGTTGGTAATGCAATAGGAACTAACTATTTATTGACCCGTTCTAGTAAATCCTAACCATCTGATCAACGTTCTAATATAATGGTTGGGGGCCCTTCTCGCACAAACTTAATACCAAAAACATTTGGTCGCCGCTAAAGGTTAAAAGAGTCGCCGCTAAAGGTCTTGAAAAAAAGAAGCAGGATAAGTTCCCTCTTATGTTTATGCCACTATTTCTAATTGTTGCCGGTAATAACCTCGAGTCGACGGTAGTATCGCCGGTAAAGATGGACGAAATAAGACCCCATATGGTCTCACTTTCTTTTATTCCTACTTACTTGTTGTTGTTCCCTCTTGAGTCACTTCTTCCTTGTCAACCTTCAACGTCCGAAGATCAATATATAGTAATGTACTTTGGCATCAATAAATGCATGTTGATTTGGTAATTGTGCTTTTGTCCCATGTGCAAAAAATAGCAATGTACATTGGTATTTCTCTTATTTAAAGTTCTTTAGCACAAAAAAGTGTGGTTTATTTAATTTCATAGTTTCATATATCTATATAATTATCAATAAATGCATGTTGATTTAGTAATTGTGTGTTTTAAGTGCAAGAAATAGCAATTTTCTTTTGTTTTTTGTCTCTAGTTTAAAAATAACAATGTAAATTGGCATCAATAAATGCATGTTGGTAGAGTTTAAAGGATTATAAATATGAATGTTTAATAAGTTAGAAGAGTTTTTTTAGTAAGTAAAAGATAAAAATATTTCATATATTAAGATGATTATATAGTAACTTGAAAAGGAACTTTTTATTTTTTTAACATTATTTACCAGCAAACTTGTTTTGTGTTTGAAAAACATTATACACATATGAACTTGTTTTGTGTTTTGAAAAACATTATAGACATATTACATACACACTCTATGTCCTGTATGTAGACATGATGAGTGCATGTATGTAGACATGATGAGTGCATACACACTCTATGTCCTGTATGTGAAGGGGATATGTAAATAGTAATCTCTTTTCACATAGTTCCACTTAGTTAGATTCGTATGTGACTATGTGTTTTTCAAAATTTTATTTCGACAATCAACGTTTTAATATAAGTTACGTATACAACAACATTTGACATCAATACATTTGACACAAATTAATTAAGTTGTTAATGGAGAGAAATTGACATATTTTACGCAATATATTATATAAAAGAGATAAAGATTTATGAAGATAACGAATTTTCACTTATGTTTGCATTTAATTAGGTGTAAGATCCATTTATTACATGAGTTAATTAAAAAAAATTAAATATAAAAGTTTAAATATTTAAGAACTTTGGATTTATAAAAAATAAGAAAAATAATGAATTATTAAAATTAATTTTTTTTTATCTTTTAAATTCAAATAAATAAACAAAATAAACTAATGAACTTTAATTTGAGAATTTTGAAATAAAAATGTAAGTCAATCGATATTTATTTATTATTATATTTATTATAATTATTACATTAAAATATAATGTAAAATTTATTAAAATAGAAAAATTCATAAAATAACATGTGATTTGATAGAAACGTAAATCACTTGATATTTTTATCAAAAATAATAAACATTAAAAAGTGAATTACCAACCATGTTAGTTAGAGTAAAAAGGTATTCTGGTTAGCATCCAAATTTCATCTTCATTCAAAAGTTTGATATTTTTAAGATTTTAAAAATGAAAAATATCAAGTTGATAGGAACGTATATTTATGTGGAACACACAATTCTGAGAGAAAAGTATTTGTTCCTAAACTTTTGAGATTATGGACAAATAGTCAGCATCATGTTCGAGTTTTGGATCTCATTCGCGTGTATATACAATAAGATTATGGCATTTGTTGAACTATATACCTGTAAAAATGACATTATATTTTTTAGATATCGTATGAGTTGATATAACAACACTATAATGTATATTTCCTATTTTTTTTTAAAATTGTATGAATGATTATAATAACACTATTTTTTTTTAACATCAAATGAAAGTTTTAAAAATATTGAAGTCTTAAGTGAAAATAAAGTTTGAATGTAACAATAATGTTTTTTTATTTATTATAGTTAATGTGGTTGGTAATTTATTTTTTAATGAACTTAATTTTCACAATGAACTTATTTTTTATATTTAAAGAACACGATTATGACCGGTAACGTGTGTTTTATATGTAGTTTATAGTTCGATCCAAACTACATGCAAATAAGAGTAACATTTATAAACAAAAACATCTTTTGAATTAAAAATATACATAAAATTAAAAAGCATCGCTCAAATACTGCCCCCCCTAAAACATCTTATAAAAATTTTATCATTAGCTTAAAAATACGTTTTATAATAATCATATTTGATAATAATATTTATATATAAAATTCAAAAAGTAGAAAAAACAAAATTGAATCATTAAACTAATTCTAACCTAACTTGTTGATCCAACCTGAAAATTTTTGTTAAATTTTTTTTAAACGATCATCTTATCCATGCATTACCATCAAAATTTAAACGTCGCTTGGGTAATTTCAAGATTTGAGGCAACGGCCTTTATGTCCAGAAGGAAAGTGTTGTTGACTTGACTTAGATTTGTATGCTTAATTATTCATCCTTTTCACATTTCAAATTGTCATTCCAATATCACATAATATTTTATAAATACCCTATATTATAATTCATTTCTCTCCATCAACCACCAAAGGAACTATAATCATGGGGTCATTCAAACTCTCATTTACACTGCTTTGTTTCTTAATTCTAGGAACTGTTCACACCAACCATTCCCAAAACTCTCAACAGGATTACTTGGATGCTCACAATACAGCTCGTGCTCAAGTGAGTGTGGGGAACATGGTATGGAATGCGACTGTTGCTACCTATGCTCAAAACTACGCTAACCAGAGAATAGGGGATTGCAATCTTATACATTCTCAAGGACCTTATGGTGAGAATCTCGCTGAAGGTACTGGTGACTTCACAGGTACTACGGCAGTGAATTTATGGGTAGCTGAGAAGACCAATTATGATCATTCCACTAATACATGTGCTAGTGGTCAGGTTTGTGGACACTATACTCAAGTTGTGTGGCGTAATTCTGATCAACTTGGATGTGCTAGGGTTCAGTGCACCAATAATGGTGGGTGGTTCGTTATTTGTAGCTATTATCCTCCTGGAAACATCCTTGGCGAATCTCCTTTTTAGTGAACTTGAAATATGTTGTTGGTTATCTGTATAGTATATGAATAAACATGCATTTCTTTGGTGCAATAAAGAGTAAACTGATATTGAAATTAATTTAGATGTCTTTTGATTACATCATCATTCATCATGACCAATGTAATTTTTCAAAAATGTATATTTAGGACACGTACATAGGTATACACGAAGGACATACAGAAGTAATCAAGAATTTTGGTCATAATATCACAAGATATTGCAAATAGAGTTGTATTATATTGATATACATACATGTCACGATCCAAACGCTATCGTCCATGCATGTATGGTCATATCTTATTAATTCATTTAATACGAGGCAATAGTTTTTTTATAAAGCAATGAAATATAATTCATTAGACCGATCGGTATTGGTCACTCAACTATGTTGAGGCCTATGTAGCCTCCATTAACACCGTTAAGAAGGAATGAACACCGACCCCTATAATGCGTTGTGATTGTGTGTTGCCACCGCAACATCCCTAAACGCCTTTCTTCTCTCTTTCTTTAATAGTACCGATTATTTATGTATATCCTAGTGTAAATGATAGATTTTTATTTCCTGTATTTTAGATTAGTTTGTTGTAATCTCTTGGTATATATATATATTTTTCGATACATATCTCACTCAATTGTGGTGATTAGCCCTAGTTCTCATAGAGCAAATATATATTGGCTACCTCATCCCACTCGCTCAAATGTTGTTGGATTAAAATGGTTATTTCGAACGAAATTTCGTGCTGATGATATTATTGGAAATTTAAAGCTCATCTTGTTACTCATGACTTCATTCAAATACAAGGTATTGACTACTCTGCTAGTTTTAGCCCGGTTGTTCAAGCATCAACAATTTGGATCATTTTCTTCTCTTGTCGTTCTAAACAAATGGTCTCTCCATCAACTAGATGTCAATAATACTTTCCTAAATGAAAATATATCCAATACAACATATATCAAGCAACCACAAGCAACCACAGGTATTTGTTGACTAAGATTTCCGAATCAAGCTTGTCTTCTAAAGAAAGCTTTTTATGGACTTAAACAAGCTCAATGGGCTTGGTTTTGACGTTTAAACTCATTCCTTGTTAGTCTTGGTTTTACTTGCAATCGTGCCGATATGTCGTTTGTATTCAAGAATGAATCTTCGATTGTTTATCTATTGGTGTACGTTGATGATATCATCTTGACCGGGAACAATGATACTTTGATCAAAAGCTTCATTACTCGTCTTAACAAAGAGTTTTCGATTACTGAACTTGGAAAATTAAATTATTTTCTCGGACTCGAAGTTTTCTATCTTAACTCGGGTATTTTTCTTAGTCAGTCAAAATACAAGGCCTTAGCAAATATTGCTTTCGAGATAGCATGATTAATTACCCATCTTCTTAGAGAACTTCATATCCTATGTTCGAGACATCTTACTCTCTTATATACAACAAAACAGACCTTCACCCACGACCCTATTTGTGTGTAATCAGTGGGTAATGGTCTTTATCCACGGATTGTCCACGAAACCAGATTGGTGGGAAAAAGCTCGTGGGTAATGTTTTCCCACGGATTACCCTCAGAATTACCCACAGATTATCCACGAACAAATTTACCCACAGATTTACCACAGACAGTTTACCCACAGTTTATCCAGGAGCAAAGTTACCCACAACTTATCCACGACTACATTACCCACTGAGTATCCACGAGCAAAGTTACCCACAACTTATCTACAACCTGATTACCCACGGGTTTTCCACGGCTCTATTACCCACAGATTTTCCACGGATGTTTACCCATAGATTTTCCACATAATTGTTTACCCACGGATTTTCCACAAATATTCTTTTTGGGTGATTCCGTGGATAGTCTGTGGGTAACATAATAGATTTCAAATGTTATATATTTACAAACTGCATAAAATCCAAATTTTTGCAGCTAATTTGAAAAAATATAATATGACCAACAAAGTTTCAAACAAATCCATAAACTTAATCTAGAAAGTTTCAAATATAAAATCCACAAAAGTTTCTATTCCCAAATTCATAAACTTGATCTATGGGAAGTTTCTGTTGGGTTTTGAGCATTCTAACACTCCTAAGTGTACATGCAACCCTAAATACCTTGGATCTATGTTTTCTCTATTATACATGCAAATAAGAATATCCAAGGTATTATCCTAATCTAGCATACAAAACAATGAGTGTAACAAGATAGAATACATACCTCTTTGATGTAGAAAGTCTTCATGAAGCTTGAGTGCCTAGCCCCAATAGTGTGGAAGCCTCAAATGGAATCACAATCATCAAAACACTTAGAATAACTTGAGAGAGTTCTACACTTCATGAAATCGGCTAGCCCTTTGTTTCTCTCACTAGTGGCCGATTTTTGTCAAGAATAAGATCTTTATATAGTGTTACAATTAGGGTAAATCCTTAATTGTCATGGCTTTCCATTTCCTTGGATCCATGGGTTCAAATACACCATGGAGCATCCATGGACCATCCTATGGGTTTTAGCCCAACTTGATTATCCATGGAGCATTAGCCCACTATATAAGTATGGATGATTTACACAATCAACCCATATATTTAATTAGTCTTCTTTTGATCACTTAATTAATCCTAGATTAATTCTTGATCAATACTAATTAAATAATCTTATTATTCTTATTATTAATATACTAGAACTTATAATATATTAATAACCATAAGTGTCTTATTTCTCTCATTATAGTCTATCCAAGTGCATGAGGTATGCAACCCAAATGGACCATGCCGGGTCGGGTCAAGTCTTACCAATTATAGTTATGGACTTAGACATTAATCCAACAGTCTCCCACTTGGATAAGTCTAAAACTATTATTGCGTATGACTTCAGGAACCAACTGGCAATCGTAGCTCTCAAAAGCTTCTGTCGAACTCTGACCTTGTAGATGAACTCTGACCTTGTCAATGACTTGTCCATTAGATAAGGGATCATATAATCCTCTGTTCTCATGATATCAGCCGGACAAATACATGGAACAACGTCGTACTTATTGTCCAGCAGTTTGTTTCCCGATTTTCGATTTGTTTGACAAAGAACTTAATCGAACACATCAATTCAGTTCTGACCGGCCGGTACATAGGTCACAACAAAATCATCGAGGGGCCCAGATATCGCTTCTATTTCTAGAAGGAACAGATAAACTTCGACTCATATGCTTGTTCTACTACTTGTTGAATTGTACACAAAGGCACGTTTTATAACATCAAGTTACTGATGCGTTTACGTGCAATCAATGCACAACCAACTCATAGGTAACAACTCATATCTCTAGGTTTGAAGATTTATATGATATTACCGTCTCACGATCACTCGAGATAAATTCCATGAAGTGATACAAGTGAGCGTGGGTTTATTCCAATACTCATAACTTATGAGCACTCATGAATGTTGTAGCAACCATTGCCATGACTAAACCCATTTAGCCATCTACAAACCCGATTCATGACAGTCTTGATTCATACCTACTTCCAACATATGAACGACTGTGGAGTGTTTAAATAACTTAGTCATTCAGAAAGAATAACCTAGCTATTTTGGAAGTCAAAACATGCAAAGTGAAACACAATAATAATCGAATCCAATATGGTCTCAGAACCCTTTTGAATATAAATAAAACCACCTTTTATTTATCACCATATTGATTACACATTATTCAATGTTTCAAATAATCAACTTAAGACTTGAATAAAAACAACAGTCGTCCCATGCTCCTAGCATGTACACTTTGTTTTCTAAACAATAGTTATGCCATACCCCAAGTATGCCACTATGTTTGTCTATGATCCTTACATTGTGATGTAGATCAATTGAACATGATTCCAATGATACTCATTTCACAATCCCAAATCCTTATTGTAAATGTAAGAATTTCTAATTTCTACCATTTACCAAAAATCTGTTAGACTTTAAACTTATATGCAATGTTCCTCTTGTAATGATTATTCACAAAGTCACCAAAACCTTGTCACTAGTCATTACAGAGTATTCCAAAGAAGGTCAACTTCTATGGAACGAAAGTCTCATATTCAAAGTACATTGCTTTGAACATCCTTCTTGCATTAAGGTTTTCTAATCTTACATAGATTGAATAACTTCCACCTATGGAGACATTTCCATAGTCCCATTTTGAGTATCACTTCCGAACAAGAGTTACTTCTTTTCAGAAAATGTCAATATGGTCCTGCTAAAATTAACACTATACTTCCAAATGTCCTCGACAATTGCTTAATCACTTTAGTCATATCCAGTTCTAGACTTTTCCCTTCTAAATGCCCCTGAGCATTTGGAAAATTTAGAAAGGATGAATATTATAGCACATGAAATCGATCCTATATCCGAAGCATATGGGATACGATTCATGATGTTTGACATAAAGGCATGATACTAGACCAGTCTTTTGCTACAATATTTTTATTTGCCATGTTTTTCAAAATTTAACTATGAATAGGGATGTCGTAATCATAATCGAATTTGAAAACGCAATATATATAGAATTTCTTCAAGTTGAACCATTCCAACACAAAATTCATATATATTCTTGACTAAAGATGATTAAAATCTCAATCTAAGCTTTAGAATTGAAATGAAGTATAATTTCCTCTCCCTTAATTATAGCAAAACAACTTTTCAACCCCTGCAACTTCACGAATTGAAACTTTGTTTTCTATAATTAACATTGCTAGCTTGCAATACTAATCATAATAATCATGCTCCCACTAACATGATGATTATCAGCATAACACTTATGCTCCCACTAGCTCTGACATATTTTCAGAAATCTGCTGGACTTCTGAAATTTAGATTCATACACCTTTCCGTAGATAGCTCAGCTGTGTGT